TTTTTTATTTTTTTTTTATTTTTACACACATATTTTGGTTTATCTTCCTTCTACAATCATTATCTGAAAATTAATGACTCAACTTCAAAGTATAATCAAAGTACGAAAATAATGGGCAAAATCCGCAAAAAGGAGGAAAGTGGATTCCAGCAGAAAATAGGATAGGTAACCCGAGCGATACGTATTTCTGCTGGTTGGCTTCATCAGGCCCGAAATGAATGCACATATGAAACTACAAAAGTAGATACACATGCCCACACATCCGGATACGGGTGTAACCTGAGGAAACGAAGATGGAGAGGGAAAAAACGACACACGAAGTCCACAACAAGAGCCAACCTACACATCGTAGTATAAAATGGATAGAAGACCTCGAATTTTCAAGGAGACATCTAACCACAACCATGCTGATTATAGCCAGTTGCTGTGATACTTCAAGCCCAAAGGATCTACAAAGAGAAAATGATCATGCGGAGAAAGGTATATAACAAAAAGTAGGAAAATAATAAACCGACTCTCGCTCAAAATTTGGCTGGTTTAGATGGAATGCCCTCTTAGTAGCAGTAAGTACACAATCGATCGTCAGATAAGGAGCGGTAAATTCATCCGAGTGAAGAGGGTCGATTTCTGCAGAATCAGTGCTGGAAACGTTTAATTAACCTCAGGCCTTCACGGTTAAGATATAGCTAATGAATACGTTGCTAGCTCTAGAGCTCAATTATGTGTCAACACCACTGATATCGGTGATGTAATATTTATTTCATTCCCTTGAGAAAGGACAATATAGCGAGTAAACGATCTTTCTTTGTCTCCTCAAAGCGGTATAATAAATATTTTCCACAGCGTCGTATTGTGACAGCTTATTCTGGAGCATTTCTGACTGGAATGTAAAATTATTTTACTTCCCACGTTTATGAAGAGGGGACACAACGTTCTTTAGAAAACATTGAAATATATTTCCTTGTTACATCCCACGCTGTTGATTTTACATCCCACGCTTTTGATTTTGAGCACTCTAAACATGGTTTCATCAGAAACATCTAAGTTTTCCTAATATACTCCGATACCGACTCATGATTTCAGTCATGTCAAAAATGAGATTTTAGATACGAGCTAAAGTTTTGTCAATAAACGATATTATATTTTTTTCAGTGCGCAGTTCTTTTTGCGTAGTAGTACGAATTGTTCGAAAAGAATCATCGCCATTTTAAAAACAGATAGCAAATGCGTGGTTGAAAATGGGATATTACATACAATTTGACAGCTCATAAAAGTACACAATATACAACAGTATTTATTCGAATGAGCATACACACGATAACTCAAAAGGCATATTTTTAGAACACACAGTTTGTTCAAAAATAACACGGAAAGTTCATCAATGCGGATCCTGAAATTTAGTGCGTATACTGAAATTTAGTGCGTGTAGTAACCTCATATCCAATATACGAGGGATGTCTTTTAAGTTTTGCATATAGAAACATAGTAGGTCGCGCGGATCGAACGTCAGTGCTGAATCTTAACCTCACTCTTAAGTAAACTTAAATTCAAAGTTTCACAACAATACGTGCAGTGTTCTCACTACAGTGAATTTTTAAGTGTCACCAAGTCATTAGAAAAATGGAACTCAACCGAGAACATTTTCGCGCTATAATTTATTACAACTTTCAGAGACAATTATCGCAACAAGGATGCCTTGCTGAGTTACTGTCTGTTTTCGATAACGAAGCGCGACAATTTCCTGTTGGGAAGGAGAATTCAAACGTGGAGGGGTGAGTCTTAGCGACGATCCCAGGGTGGGTGCACCAAAAATGGCAGTCACCCAGGAAAACGTCGACGCTGTGCGCAAACATTGAAGATAGACATGTGACCTATCGCGAGATTGAGGCGTCCTTGAAGATCTCAAAGACCTCAATTCAAAAAATTTTACATGAAGAATTAGGAGTAAGAAAATTAGTTTCTCGTTGGATACCCCACCTGTTGACTGAAGAGCAGAAAGCAGCGAGGGTTAATTGGTGTCAAAAAACGCTTGACCGTTTCAATTCCAGAAACTCAAAAAGTGTGTACAGCATTGTTAGTGGTGATGAATCGTGAATTTACTGTTATGAACCAGAAAATAAACGACAGTCGGCTGTTTGGTTATTCCAAGGTGAAGAAAAGCCAACAAAAGTCATCCGTTCTCGAAGTGTTTCGAAAAAGATGGTCGGAACATTTGTGTCAAAAGTGGGTCATATTGCAACAATTCCTCTTAATGAGCAAAGAACTCTTACTGCGGATTGGTATACCACCACTTGTTTCCCAAAAGTCATCACCGAGCTTCGAAAAATCAACCCCGAAAGAAGAATCATCCTCCACCAAGACAATGCCAGCTCGCACACAGCCCAAAAAACAAGGCATTATTTAACGGAAGAAAACGTGGAATTATTGGACCATCCTAACGATTTCTTTCCCAAAAATTAAAAACAGACTGCGTAGTCAAAGGTTCCAGCCAACAGAAGAAGCAGTTGAAGCATTCAAAAATGCCGTTTTGGATCTGCCAGCAAACGAGTGGAATAAGTGCTTCGAAAATTGGTTCGAGCGCATGCAGATGTGTATTAATCTTCGTGAAGAATACTTCGAAAAAGAATAAAGTCATTTAAAACTACTTACCGTGTTGTTTTATTTCCGTATGCAAAACTTAAAAGACATCCCTCGTATACCAAAAAATGTTGCTGCTCATATTGTTTCTGTTCTATTTTCGAATAACGTATTGGATTCTGTATGAATTATATGTCTTGGTAAATGTTGATCAGACCATTTCTTCAGAGAAAAATTGTTTTGAATGTTTGGGGTAAAATCCGTGTGAAAAACTTAATTACGTTATCTTTCTGAAATACGCTAAAACTAGTTAACTTTCACATTTAAAATCGATTCCAATATATTAAGGGAGTACAAAACGACGCAATTTGACAAAGATTTTACGTTATTTCTTTAATCTCAAGATATTTTCATTGTTTTTTCAATTATCCAGTAGATCATAAGGCCTGCCTTTATTCGATATTTACATTGTTCACGTAATATATGCAACGATAAAGTCATCAACACGGACCATCCCTCGATTAAATAATCAGAGTATCTCTATTCGGAGACTACGAAGCACGGATAAAAGGAGTCGGATAATTCCTGGGATTTGTGAACGGGTAGTAGATGGGGCTACGCCATATCCTTGTAATCTCGACCTACATCGAAGACAATTTTGGTGAATCTTAGTAAAGAACTTCAATCCGGCAAACGGGATGTCGAGCTAAATGGATTAAGGGGAATATTGTGATTCCGATTGAGCACGCGCGACATCACAAAACTTCCATGTTCATAGATGATTGTATTATGAGAAAAGTTCATTTGGGCAACAGTTTATAAAAACGTGCTAAATTATGGTATGTCTAAGAAGTCCATAGAAAGGTGATATTATGCTTTCCATTTAAACGACTGTAACGTTGATATGTGGAATTGGAACACCCTGTATAATTGTGACTATTTCATAAACGAGACACCAAATCCACCCTGTAATTATTTTGAATTACACTTTCACAGAAGCAAGGTAACAGAAAATAGTGCTTGCATTGAAACTTCATCTTGTATCTAAAAAAAAATTTTAGATACAAGATAAATTTATAATTGTCCCTGCTTCAGTTATGTTATCGGTGCCGACGCGTGACTTTTCCTAAACTGTTACCAAAACCAGATGTGAAAAATCTTATCAAAAAAAATTATTTTGAACCTCCCAAATATAAGCTTTTGCTTATTTTAGGTATTTTATTTAAACTATTTTTAAATTAAGGTAAACATTCCTGGACTGAGCATCTGGGGCACTTGATATACCTCATCGTCTTATGCTATGACTAATCCAAGCCGTCCGAAAAAACAGTCGACGTTTCTAGATGTTTATCTTTTTTGGCAATGAATCTTAACAATTCCCTGTGATTTCCTCTATTGTCAGAGTCATCCACTTCAAAATAAAGGTAATTCCTGTTTTGCCAAAAAACATACGGTATCTAGAAGTGTGCTGCCTAAAAGCTTGGTTAAGACATCTTTCCATTCTTGTTTCGCCAAACCGAATTAATTTGGTTACACATCTCACATGTAACGGAGAAATTTCATGTCTCCTCTTTAGATCCCTAAAACTACTTAAATCGTTGACTCCGCTGCTGGTCCACCCATTTTTTTCTGTATAAAACAGAAGACATCGCCAACAATACAATCTGTTTTTTTGCAACCACATAACCAAGAGTTTCCATATACCAACTTAATTTAAAATATCAAACTACGTTTTTGTTATTCCTTTTTAAAATCATCTAAAATAGGTGTTGGTCTTCCATTTTCAATGATCTCCTTTTTTTCTTAAAAATTATACAAGGAGAATGACTTTTCAAGTAGTTGATCGATTACGCAGCGACACTCATCCATGATTAATTTCACGCACACTACAGCCGATAACCAAAACGACTACTAACGAGTGAGAAGTGAGCAAGTGAGTAACCAAATCAAAAAATGGTAACAAGCCCACATAATAGTCGCATCGCCCCACGCACTCGGGCGACCGCGATCAGACACGAGCCGGTACCGACGGTCCCCGACGGACTACCAAGTGTATCCATAAATGAAAATGGTAACAACCGACATCCAAGTCGAGGCGAGTCAGCTTCATCGTCTTCGCAAAACCTAGACACTATAGGGCGCATTATTTTCGTGGGGCTAATTTGCTATTTACTGAATTAGTATTACGTATCGCTGTTGGTAAACAAATAATTGAAATTATTTCACAGTACTTAGTCATAAAATATTTATTTTTAAGATTTTTAACTGTTACTAATGGTAACAATGGTTACATGGACGCTTCGCCACTGTATGATATAAAAGAAATTAGATGAATGAAATGCTGTTGATACTTGTATTACGATTAATTATATTCTAATTCTCACCCTGTTCGATTAAACAATATTTCGGTTCAAATATCGTACCTTTGTGAGCTCATACCATCCGGTAGTGGAGAAGGAGGGTTATCCACTTGTAAAGTATCTGGCTTTGGTAGCTCTTCCTTTGGACCACTAAAAAAGAAATATATACAATTAGAATCACTGTCAAAGCAGCGTGCAAGCAGAAATCATTTGGTCGAAACCCTACCGATACGGCTGATCTATACTTTAGCACATATCGCAAATATTTCATATCTTATTTTAAAATAAAGATTAGGATGTAACTTGGACGAAAATATAATTTTTTCTTTAAGGAACCCTCTGCTTGCTATTTTATAGAACTTCAAGGTTGCATTTTGGGTGCTAATACTGTGGTATAAGAATACTGCTTTATAAGCTGTTTTCTTCTGGTTTATACAAAAGATTGTTCAAAATTATATGAACATAACATACACTGTAAGTTACTGTGATACTGTTCATCGCAATAATGCAATTTTGCATTATTTTAATGATGAAAATAGTTCATTGTTAAGTAGTCATTTCTTTTATTTCAGATCATTATTCCCATCACTACACCACCGTCACTGTCATATTCTCTCCATCTAGTTGCGATGTTGCCAAATCATGGATAGTAATATACCTTAATTCTTACGTATATACTAGCACAAAAATGTGCAATCGGCACAGGATTGTCATGAAAATGCGATTTGAAGGGTGGCCTTCTGGTTTTACTGTACTAAATCCACCTCGTGCCCTACGATAGCGTTAGCTAAAGAGACTTTTTTGAAGAATGCCTTATGCCCTTCACAAAAGTACTTCGGTTATTGTTTTTCTTATATTAGTTATAGTCTATCTACTTTTTGTATGAATGTACTTGAAGAATTATTTAAAGTGAAGCTGATGTTACAAAATGTACTTAATTAAATGTGATATATATGAGAAATAGCTGAAAAAATAGCTGTTGCAAATCACTAAATAATGAAAATATAACAAAGAACACTACAAGTTTTTTGATGATTTGATGAAATGATAGTTGATCTTTATTTAACTATAATGTTGGACGATGATATGTTGGGTGGACCTGGCGAGGTGGTCCAAATCGACGAATCGACGTTGGGTATTTTTATATGCAATGACCGCTGGTGCTTTTTGTATTTTTTGTCACGCGAGCCGCTGGTGCATTTTCCACTGTTTAGACACATACTGTTCAAAATTTCATCTAGTTTTCAGTAAATATTGGCTCAACTTTTCATAAAACAAGCCATTTACAATAAATTAAGACTTTTATTTTGCAAATAACCTCATTTCTAATTACGTATTCCTCCCAAAAAAAGATAAAACTTGGCAACAATGGACATCATTTATCTTATCTGTCAAGAAATGAGCGTTATAAAATGGCCATTGAGAATTGTTTGTACTTTGAAATATTTCTTATAAACGCGAGAACTTTTATCTCATTGAAAATACGCGAAACAAATTGTTAAGGAATTTCAAGAAGACATTGAAAAATCACAAAACAATACCTCTGACAGTTTCCAAGTAAATATCATCATTTACGTTTGTATTTTGAACTGTTATCTTAGCTAATAAGCTATTGTGTAATAACACGTCTGGTTTTGAACCTTTTTTTGAAAAAACAACGATTTTTTACAGTTTCACATCTATTTTCCTTGGTTATATACAGTGTATGTTATATTCTTATAATTTAGAGCATCCTGTTATACAAAACGCAAAAAAAGTCAGCATATAAAACAGTATTCTATTCTAGAGTATTACCACCCAAAATGCAACTGAAGTTCCATAGAATAGCAAGCAGAGGGTTCCTTAAAGAAAAAATGATATTTTCGTAAAATTTACATCCTAATTTTTCATTTTAAAGTAATAAATGAAGTATTTGCGATATGCGCTAAAGTATAGTCTTACCAAAGATACAAATATTCTATCGAATATAAAAGAGTTTATTCAAAAAAATTGTAAAAGTCTGTCAGTTTTTAAACTGAATGTCACATATTTGATTGCACATTCAGATACTTTTCCAAAAGAAGAAGCTGTAACAATTAGTTGTCGAGTTATAAGCGAAATATAAAAACGCTTAACTTTGAGGCCGAAAAATTTGCAATTTCAAGAGACAGTAAATTTATTTTCCAGGTTATTGATTGTGGAGCTTAAAAATGAGGTATGACATAATCCCCCATTCAGAAAATGTTCAAAATGGCGCCCGCATGGGTATCATGTAAAAAACCTATAAAACGTCAAAGAAAACCTATAAGTTGTCATCTTGCAAACTAGGTAGTTTTTAGGGCGCAAACAGTCATTCCACGTTTGCTCACTAGGATCGTTGTGAACGTCCATCTAACGAGGAATCACTCAATTAAACTACACGCATTATTGGTTGCATATGTCTTGTGAGGCCAAATGGTCCTTGTCTGTAGTTTTTATCTCTGAGAAGAAAGTTGTTTGAATAGCAAGATCGCATCTGGATGATTATGTGTATTGGTATGAATGTGTATAAAATCAATTATATTTGCTGTGTGAGAAAATCATTACTGAATATGCTGCCAATGAAGTAAATCTGTTGGCTGTTTCCGACGGGTTATTTTTATGTTGTGCTTTCTGAAGAGAGGTTATGCTCAAAGTTATAAATTACGAAAAACTGAGGAGAACTACGGGAAATCATCACCGCACCAGCGTTGTGTGTAATTACTGTTAGCATGTACGTATATGGCTTATGATTCGACAGTGTACAGTGAATATAATTCTTTATCTCTCTCATTTTTGAAATTCAGAAAATTTGTAGATGTAATTTCCAGAATGCATAAGAAAAAGTGGATGCGCAACTAACTTCTAGCTTTGAATCTCAATTAAGAACCCAATGTAATTATCATCAACACATACAACTTACAACTTAGACCTCCAGTAATGCCATCTCAGAAGCAGATTTTACATCACATCAGAGCCAAAGATTAATAACAAGCCTCATGACATTTAGGTAACACGTACAACTAAGTGCTAATATAACATCTTGTAGAAAAACCTAGATAATGTCAAAAAAACCAGCATAATGTCAAAAAAAAATCGGCATAATGTCACTTACGTTATACCCTTGTCGGTCGCCATCTTGAAACTTTCATGTGCTACTTTTGCATTAAAATTTAGTAGTCATGCATTAATTCCGTTACCCCAAATTCCAGCTTATTAACTTGATAGATACAAAACTCACTAGGGAGGAACCTTTTCGGAAGGCACTGTATACCTAACGCTGAACACGTTGAACGCCAATGTGCTTTTTTGTAAAATGTCAAAAAATTCTTTTAGGTATGTTTTTAAGAGGCATTTATTAGAATCTGTAAGTATATATACGTAAATATTTTATTTATATCGATACAATCTGCGTGAGCCGAACCTAATATAATTTAACACAGAACTCATTATTAACAGAACTACGTAACAAGTTAAAACTAGGTAGTTGCAGTGTCCGTCACTGATGACTGACAAGGCACCATTGGAATAGTTCAGTGTCAGTCACCAGTGGCTGACAAAATGGTCAAAGTATCAAATACGACAGAGACTATGGATTTGTTAGCTTGCCAAATATTTCTAAAAAAAAATAATTAATTCTTTACTGCTCAAGTTCCATGCTGCCAGCCTATCCAACATTCATATACGTTTTCCGTAACAAAATGGAAATAACATCAATACGACTGAACCCAAAGTGTCGCCTCAAGTATTTCGTGAAGGAAACGATATATTTTCTTCGAAGAGCCACGCATCGATCTTTTGGAAAAAGGTGATTCCGGTGAATTGATGCTGATCATGATGCTACTGCATCGACTTGATTGAAAGCGATCGAAAGGGTCCAGAAGGGCTAGAAGCTGGATATTTATGCCTCAGGGCCATGTCGTAGGACGCCTTTATGGCCTCATTGATTTTTATAATCTTTTCTCTCCCTCAGAAAAGCGGGGGTATTTCTAGATTCGTACTGCTCCGTGTCAACGTCGCCGTTCTCCTATTGTGAGGCTATGTTTTCTTTCTGAATTGTAAGAAATTTCAGGCTGATATGACAGATGACATAAATCAAAAGCATGAACAATTTGATGTAAGTAGATATTGGTAAAATAACCTCAAAATAGAGCTCTGACATGGAGCAGTAGAAAACTATGACAATCATTGATTGATTTTCATAGTCTTTTCACTCCTCCAAAAATTTCTAAACTGCACCTGTTCCGTGTCAGCGCTGTCCTATTGTGAAGTTATGTTTTCTTTTTGAATCGTAGGAAATTTCAGGCCGATAAAACATGATATACAAAGTGACATATAAATCCGAACACCCAGTTTAAATGGTTTTAATAATAAAATTTTGTATAAGTACTTAATGAAGCATAATAAGTAGATGATAAAAATTTCAAAATGATTGCACTGCTTTAAAGCCCTTTGACCTTTAATAATGTGTGGATGCACCCTGATGTGCTACGCATTCTCCAACGCGCCTAGGCATGCTTCTGATCAGGTGGTCAATGTCCTCCTGTGGTATCTCATTCCAGGCAACCACCAACTCCTCTCGAAGTGCTTCTAGAGTCTGAGGAGGACGTTGCAAATTGAGCAATCTCCTACCCATCATATCCCACACGTGCTCAATTGGGAATAAGTCGGGAGATCTTGGTGGCCATGGTAACAATGTGACATCATTATGTTGGAAGAAGTCTATTGTGACTCTTGCAACATGTGGTCGGGCATTATCTTGTTGGAAAGTTGGATCTGCCAGGGTGTCAAGATAGGGTAAAAGATGGGGTTCTAGAACTTCGTGGATATAACGCTGCGCGTTCATGTTACCTCTGATGAAGATTAAAGGTGACCTGGAACCATAAGCTATAACACCCCAAACCATAACTCCAATAGTGTGATGAACATGTCTTTCAACAAAAAACTGTGGATTCCTCCTTTCACTACGTCGCCTTCTAACCCTGGCACGACCATCGGGCATGCCTAAACAAAATCGAGACTCGTCACTAAAGACAATACTGTTCCATTCCTGATCCCAGAGTGACCGTTGTCTGCACCACTCAAGGCGATTACGTCGGTGTTCTCGAGTTAAAGGGAGGACCCAGTGTGGCCGGTATGAAAACAAGCCAAAA